ACACGATGTTCATTTGTGCTCTGCATCTTAAAATAAATAATGCATATCATTCATAAATTTATATTCAACAAACACTTCTTGAGCACCTACTATGTTCTAGGCACTTTATATAAATGATTTCACTTCACTGTACTTAGAGTCCCCTTTCTGCTCCTAAGTAGAAAGCAAGGATAACCTTTCTCCCTGTCACATCTTGATCACAACTATTTGAATTTGGATTTTAAGTCTCATCTCTAATTGCTGAATGCAACTAAATCCCTATTAAAGGGCTATCTGGCATTGCACCATCGATCCTGGGTCTGCCTCAAAGATTCTAAGCTTTGGAGGGTCAAAGTAAAATGTCTCTGTACTGTCCTATTCCTGGAAGTAGAGAGCCTGCTAATTCTGAAGTGCATTCTTAAGGTTTATTTCAAAAAGGGAGGGCCAAATCTCAAAACCTGCACCCTACTGAGCAACACCATCAAGTGCAAATTCTTCACTTTCTAAATATTCCTTCTGCTATCTCTCCCCTGCTATCTCCTTACTCCTTTCCTTTCTGGAACTCTGGTTTGGCCTCCTCCTCCTAAGTCTCCATTCTCCCCTAAGACCACAAGATGGTGCGATTTAGAACCCGTTCTCATCGGGTCTTTGCCCCCTCTGGTGTTGCAGCCATAGATCATATGTCTAATTCAGCAAGAAGACACCTTGGGGCTTGAGTTTCCACTCCCACTGCAGCTCTTCCCAGAGCGGGTAGAAAAGAGCTGCTCACCTGTTGCTTGAGGCAGGGAAGAGGATGCTCCTGCGGGAACGAACTGCCAAGGGTGGGGTTGGGGAGGAGAGCAAAATTCTCCTCTCTACATGCTCTTTTTGAGAGGAGAGATCCGGATGACCTTGGTAACGTGACTATAGGAGGACTGAACGCTTGCTAGTACTACTGAAAACAGTACTGGGAAATGATAAACTGTAAAGCCAGTACTTAAGAATGGTTTTTGAAAAAAGTAAAAGAACCTAATTTGGCTATGTCGTCACAATACCGATTAGAGTCTAAAGAAGAATGACATTTAGCAGGACCATTTACTAGCACAGTGCCCGATACTAATATCCTACTGTACATCACAGCTGTGATTAAAGACAAAACGCAGTACCAGACAAAGCATGACTTTGATTCGATGGCAACAGTAACCTCTGCTCGGGCACAAGGGCCCCCATGCGGTCGCTGCTGGCTGCCGGGTCACTTGTTAACAAGGCAGGTGGGGGCGCTAATCAGAGGGGCGGTGCCTGAGAAGGCTCATTTCAGACACATCACCCTGAACCTCCGGAACCAAGGCATCGATATGCGGAGCCCTGAAGCCTAGTCCCTGGGGGCGGGGGAGAAGCTCTAGTGGCCAGAATGCGGCACTCGCGTCTTCTCAGGACGAAGGGGCGCCGCGGCGCTCGGGTTCACACCGCGGCGAGGGCTGACGGGCCGTCTTTTTCCCGGACCGTGGCCGGCGCCAGGCCCTCAGCCAGGCGTCCCAGGCGGCAGAACAGCCTGGCCGGGAGGAGGCCCCAACAAAGCCCGCGGAAATCATGTCACGCACCTGGAATGTCACCTAGACGACCCAGCCCAGCCCCACCCACAGCGCTTGGCAACCCACACGAGTCAGGGGCAGCAGAAAATGGAAGAGCCTCCAGAAGAGGCTCCAGCCGAATCCTTGGAACATGAAAGCACAGCTGCGCCCTCATCTGCCCACCACACTAATGGCCAGGAAGAAGACCACCAGAAGAACCAGGCCAAAGGGGAGGCAGATGACCAAACCGATCACAGAATAGCTGGCCAAAGTGCCAGAAGAGTGTCTGGCCAGGCTGAACCCAACATATTTGGTCAAGCTGACCACAAAGTATCTGAACGCGATGGGAGTGAAACATCAGGCCAGGCAGACCGTGTTTATGCTGCTGACCTTACAGCATATGATCAGGTTGACCAAAGATCATCTGAACAGACCGAAGGCAAGGCATCTAGCCAGGCTTACAATGAAGAGCAGGAACTGAGTGATGGCCAGGAGTCTGGCCTGACTGACCAAAGAACTTCTGAACGAAGATTGTCCACACTATCTAACCGAAGGGCTTCCAGACAGACTGACCGCAGGATGTCCAGCCAGGTGGAGAGGAGAGTTTCTGAGCAGGCCGACCGCAGAATGTCCAGCCAGGC